TGAATGTCTACTGAACCTTCTTGCTATGTACCCAACCCAGAGACCTTTGGTTGTGTGCTAGGACTGAGGGAGGTTATCCCTGGTGAGGCAGTCTTCTCAGCCATGAACACCTTAACATGCCACTTCCTCCAACCCCTAGAGGATTTAGCACTGTACCACAGGCCTTGCTGTGAGGTGGTCCTGGGACAGCAGCTGTGTCCCACAGCTTTCCACTTTCCAGGTCCCCTACAGCTCCCTCTATTACTTTCTTTGTTTTACACACATATAATAGAAAGTTCCTCTGCTGTCCATTAGTGGGTACTGTCTACGTCTAGGCAATGACCATCAGGGTGAACCAGAACTGTCAGAAGGGACCTGTGGCTTTCAAATTCTCAACAGGAGTTAGGGCAGCACTAGCAAGCACCTACAAAGTCACCTAGTACACATGAGCATGGAGGATCGAAGATATAGTCATGCTCACACAGCTGAGAATTAATCTGTCCCACCCAAAGTGGTTCTAGTCCAGCAAAGCTGCAGCAAGGTGAAGTGACTGTTAGCTTGGGGGGAGGAGGGAGGGTGCAATGCTCACCTGTGCTGTTAGAATCAGTCTGCAGGGCCCCAGGGGTTTCTGGGAAGAACCAGCTTCCCCACTTTGGCCAGCAGTTCTAAGCTTCAAGTTAGGGCCTCCTATGGCACTCTGAATGACCACCTGGACATTATTAGTTGTTCTTCACATCAGATGGGCTCATGTTCATGGCACTATTTCTGACATTGGCATAAACAACAGTTCGAGGACATGGTGTACTTCACCCTAGCATGCTATTGGGTTGTTTTCAGAATCCAAGAGAAAGCACACTTAGGGAGAGACAAGAGAAACCTCCCAACATACAGCCTTCCTAAGACTCTCCCAACTTTGTTGAGAGCTAAACTGAATTTTGAGGTTAAGCATCTATTCTTACTGAAGGGATCTACAGGCTCACCTGCAAAGTGGGGGTCTCTGCCACCTGACACAGCTATGGGAATAGGGCCCCTGCCACCCAGGAAATGGCAGTGGAATGGGAGGCCAGGTCCACTGGAGCCCTGGGGAGCAGTTACCAACAGAGCTGTGGCTGGGAGAAAGGTGTGAGTGTGGTGGCACATACTAAGAATCTCAGAACCAAAAACACAGAAGGAAGATTTCAAATTTATTCCAGCCTGAACTACAGAGTTCAAGGCCAACTAGATCAACGAGGCAAAACTGTCTTAAAAACAAACCAGGCAACTAGCAATGAAGTGCAAAATCCACTGATTCCTCAGAGCTCTTCTGTGGCCCACTCAGGCCACTGAGGGGCTTCCCCAGTGGGCAGACCAGAACTGGGACTCACCCACCCCACTCAGCCCATGGGGTGGTCCTGATGGCAGTGTGCACCGATAGCAACCCAAGGTATGCAAAGCTGTGACCTGGAATCTGCCTGTCTTCCAGACGCATTCCAGCAAGAAAAGTGGAGCCAGGAGCTTGCTGCATGGCGTGCTGTGGCTGTGGAGCATGACCAGCTGATGCAGGGCTGGCGGAAGGCATGGGTACGTACCTGGCCACCAGGAAGCCTTTGCAGGTAACCCCTCCGACTTCCTCTTGGCCTGTAGAGCACTTCTGCTTCTGTTGCCCTGGAGTTCTGGGCTGTCGCTGTGGCTAGTAGAATCATGGACACTATAATGATGGTGGAGGAATTTGTAGGTCATGCATAGGCCCTAGCTTTCTTCTAGGTCCCAAGGCTGCTCCAGCCCCTAGACAGATCTCCTGGAGCTCACTGCTTTCATGAGAGCAGGAAACTATCTGCTGCTCAGCAACATGGAGAGATGGGGTTGTCACAACCCCATTGAGGGATGCAAGGGCATCCTCAAGAAGGGTGACCCACACAGGCTCAAGGCACTGTGCTGCCCTTCGGCCAGGATTTACCTTGCGATGAGCTGCTACACCCAAGTGGAGAGTTCCGACTTTGGGGAGGCCCAAGTATGTGGGTTAAAGGGCTCCCAGGCTATCAACAGTGAGTGTTGCCAGCCCTCTCTCATCAGAGAAGATGCACGCTAGCAGATGGCACAGCCCCTTTCTGAAGGCAGGGTACCTGGCTAAGCAGCATGGGCTCACAAAGCACCTGTCTCAAACAGGAGGACCAGGAGCTAGAGTACAATCTGCTGCTCTTACCTCCAGAATCCTTGAAGAAATCACTGAGTACTGTTAACCTTAAGCCTTGGGTGGGTGGGTTCCACCCCAGAACAAGCAAGGCCAAGAACACAAACACTACCTTGTTTTTGTTTTTAGGAAAGCTGCAGCAAGGATACCTTCTAGCTGCCTGAGACAGTTCTCGACAGATCCCAAGTGACCTTGTGGACCCCAGCTGCAGACTTACCTGGTGAAGGCACAGCACCTATCTCACCACGCTGTTTTGTCTTGGCTGGCTCCACACAGCCTTTTGCCACTGCCTGAGTGTCCCCCCCTAGAGGTTTGGAATCTGTAGCCTGAACCCCAGTCTGCCTGAGACAGAGAGCAGGAAGCTTTTACATTAGCTGCTTACGTAGAACAAGGATCAGTCTTCCCAGCAGAAACAGGCAGCTGAGCTGTTGAGGAGGCTCTACACCCAAGGAGTGATAGAGCAGCATGTGATGGCGGCCACCCCGCGTTATTCCCAGGACTTCACTGCACACTCATGCCCCTCCCCCAGCGTCTGCACAACTAATCTCCATTCTGGTCCTGTAGAGCTAAGTCAACTCTGCTGATGTGGCCACATAGTAAATAGGTCATTCATTTTGTTCCAGGGTCCACTCTGGGACAGGGGAGGTGAGATTCCGTGTGAGACTGTTTTGCCTTAAACCTTGAGTGAAGAGGAGGAAGTTGCTCTTCACTTATCTCAAAACGCAAGGCTGTTTTCCAAAGCACAGTGGTTTCCACCCACATTTACCCTGTCAGCGCTCCGCTTCCAAGGTAGAAAAGCCAAACAGGTCAATTATGCAAACCTTCTGGTGCCGTATTAAACTGTTTTGCCAGTGCTGAGTAAGCGTGTCTTGTAGGTGCTTCCAAGTCTTTATATTACAATCTCTGAAGCGTGTGTGGGTGTGACCTGGGGAGGTGTGGCCCACAACCTGCTCGGCCTTTAATCTTGGCAGACATGTCTCGTCTTGTGAACCATAAAACCTAAAACTGTTCAAAACAAAGCTACACTTCTCTATGATCCCTGGAGACACTGCCTTGCTCAGTTCAATGTCCTTCTTTCTGGGACAAGTGAGTCAGGTGCCCTTCCAGACGTGGGGTTCACTGGTCCCTCCTGGGCCTAGTACGAAAAGGACCCTGAGGCCAGCTCTGGTGAGACCCCCTGGTGGTCATGTGCACCTACTCACCCGCCTTCCCAGTGCACACTAACTATGCGTACTGCACCACCATACCTTTGCAACAGAATTCAAAAACAAAACAAACAAAACTCAGCTTTCACTGGCTATATTTAAGGTGTGCTTTCAACAAACTGCCCAGTCCCTTACCTTAGCAATGCTTCCTGTGATTCCCTCAAGTCTGGACCTGTCAGGACCTGCCAGCAACCATCCACTTGAGGTTGTAGTGGATTGTCTGCCAGCAAGTATGCTTATTAAGATTCGCTGTTCAGAGGGCTGTTGAGAAGATGGCTCTGTGGTTAAGAGCATTGTCTGTGTTTCCAGAGATCTTGAGTTCAATTCCTGGAACCACATGGTGGCTCACTCCCATCTGTAATGTGATCTGATGTCCTCTTGTGGCCCACAGGTATATATGCAGATAGAGCACTCATACATACATTTTTAAAATTTATTTTATGTGCATTAATGTGAAGGTGTCAGATCACTTAGAATAGGGGTTACAGACAATTGTGAGCTGACATGTGGATGCTGGGAATTGAACCCAGGTCCTTTGGAAGAGCAGACAGTGCTCTTAACTACTGAACCATCTCTCCAGCCCCATATAAAATAAACATCTTCAAACAAACAAACAGACAAGATTCCCTGTCCAGCTGCACAAGAGCAGCCACCTGCACTCGTGTTCAGTCTGGTGCTCACTCCTGTGACCCTACTGCCCTGGGCACCCTTGGCACAGTAAGGGCTGGGGGAGGCGAGCTGACTTCATGGGAAGCTCTCAACAGGACTTCTGAAGTCCTCAATAGAAGTCTCAACAGAGGACTCATCAACAAAAGTGGCAGCACAACCAACCAGGGCACCAGGAGGGGACCCAATGAGGTCAAATGTGAAGGACTTCTGGAAGCAGAACGAGAAGTCAGAAACCCACCAAGGGCTCCTACATGGCCCTAGCTTAGCAAACATATGCCACAGACAAAGCAACCTCAGGGCAGAAGGCCCTCAGATCAGGAGACTTTCCAGATCATTTTTTTGCCTTATCAAATGTTAGCATTCTAGCTGCTGGATATAGCTGACAGAGCACTTTCAACTCTGATATTAGTACAAACTAATATCAGAGCTTTTTTTTTTTTTCTTTCTCTCAAACAATCTATTTCCAAACTTACTACAACCAGCTTTCAGTCTACTGACATAAGCGGGAGAAGGGAAAGGCTCCTCCCTGTCTGCTGAGCTATTCCACCAATCCACTTCCCACGATGAAACAGTCAACACCAGTGTCAGCAAGGGACAAGAAGTAGCCACAAACTATAGTCGGCAGGCCACTGGTGTTACAGGCACCCATTTCTGACTCAGTCTTGTACTTTCACTTCACCTCCATAGGCCACTCACTCCTCAGAGGCATTGTTGACTGCAACTGAATACTGCCACAGGGTTCCAAGATCAAGCACACATTTGGTTGGCAAGCAGGCAGTAAAAATCTTTCCTGACATGGGGCAGACTTGGGATGCAAACAAAGGTCTGAGTTTGGCAGTCCCTGGTTCTGGAGCTGGCCATGGTAACTGAGCCTGCCAGACCACAGCAGTGTGAAAGAGGAACAACTCAGTAAGGAACTCCAGTGTTAACAACCAGTAAGACTGATACCACTCACCTAAGATCACCAGAGTCTGAGATGAAATTAAATAATCACTCTTTATTCAAAATAAATAAGCCCTCTTACTTGCAGGAAAAATATGCAAGTAAGCTCTGTCCTATAAGACAGAAACCACATTCATCGTATGCTCATTAAAAAGATTTGTAGACATCAAACTCAATCTACAAATTTGATATATACTGCTTCTTCGGAAAATAAAAGCTAAACACATTAATTCATGTCAAAAAGTCATGTTAGAAACTAATCATCTTCTGAGGCTCATCTCAGCAAATCCTTGGCAGCACAAAGTGGCAGGGCTCCATCCCTGGGGAAGAGCCCTTCACGCCTGGAGCACAGCTCCTGTTCCACCATCCCCAAACTTGGTTGAGTAGCACTGTAATAGTGTTTCCTAGGCAGCCACGGTACCCAGGACGCGCTCTCCAGAATTTCCCAGATTCCGTGAATCACCAGGCGCTTAGAAAAGGCCCCACAGGTGTACTGAGTGTCCATCTGATGGACTCAGGGTTACACCAGCTGCTTCCTTTGCCCTTAGGCAGTGCATTTCCAACTCAACAGTCACATAAACTACATCAGGTCAGTAAAGAAGTGAGAAGGAAGTCTTTTTCCTGCCTCCCCATCTTACCCAATACAGACACACAGGCAAGAACTCTTGTTATAAATTCAAGTTCATCATCTGAGAAGTTGACACCTCTAGTGAGTCTTCCAGCTCCAGGGTCTGCTGACTGTACGCTTCCAGGTGCTTCCTCCAAATCTCAACTGAAATGGGAAAACAGCCCAAATGACAGACCGTGACAGGTCACAACACTCCTTAAGAGGCAGGGATGGGGTGGCAGGAGTTACTGATGCCAGCTATTCACTCTGCTCAGGTGTCCCTGGCCATATCTATTCACCCTTCCCCACCTGCTAGGCTAGCTCTCCCCTTAATGACCAGCATCAGTCACAGCCCCTAGAGCACATTTCACTGGACAATGGCCCTGAGAATTCAACTCGCCCCTGCCCCGACAAGTTTGTCTTAGATACAGCTGCCCTTCAGCCGCCACTGTTCCCGTGTGGCTCAAAGTCTAATTAATACCCATCAATGATGACCTTGCAGCTTCTGGCGTCAGTTGACTAAGATCTCAGAAATAATGGGCAAGAGTGAAGGACTCAGCACATTGCTGCTAGTGTTAAGGCATCAGTGCCATGCTGTTCTCCTACCCCACAAGGTCCTAATTAACACTGATGACCCAGAGTACTCACTATAGTGTGGCTCTTCTCCAGTGGAAGCTAGGTTGCCTGCTTCAGTGGATTGGATGGGGCCCTGCAAGGATGGGTTGGGAGGGGTCTGTGGCCCAGGCTCTCCTGACAGCTCCTGCCGCATTGTCTCCAACATGGTCTTGTAGGCCTGACGGGCTGCCATGGTCAGCTCAACCATCTTGTGGAACTGGTCCTTGAGCACAAGAGAGCACATTGTAGACAGACCCTCCACAGCAAGGCAGAGGTAACATGGGCTGTGGGGTCTCTGCCTATGGGTGCTGCCAGCTGCCCATGGTGATTCTCTGTTGGCAATAAACCTACAGTCAAATTCAGGAACTTTATTCGGTGCTGTTATGGAGACAAAGGCTACTGGTTTCTGAGAAGGTTCTCCTTTGGGATGAATTTTCCTTAGGGCCATCATAACAGAGGCTATGGGGGCTAGAGAGATGGCTCAGAGGTTAAGAGCACTGGCTGCTCTTCCAGAGACCCTGAGTTCAATATCCAGCAACCACATGGTGGCTCACAACCATCTATAGTGAGATCTAGTGCCCTCTTCTGGTATGCAGATGTACATGCAGACAGATCATTACACATAAACAAACAAACAAACAAGCAAATAAAATAACAGGGGCTATGGTTGGTGAGTTTGTTACATCATAGGGCATGACCCCAACTTTTTCCCATGGACAAGGAGCTAAGAGGCTGGGGCCCAGCTCACCTGTGCCCCATCGTAGCTGAAGATCCCCACAATGCTGACAGGAACGGCCTTGTTCAGACTACGCCCCAGAGCCTTGCGGTTGAGTGCAAACACAAAGGGGATGTTCTGCTCACAGGCGCAATCGATGATGGTGTGCAGTGTGTCATCCAGCCCGCCTGGTCAAACAAGCACAGTCCACATGACACAGGGTTGGTGTGACACAGCCCACCAATAATCATAAGGTCATCTATCCATACCAAATTCCACTGGGAAAGAGTCCCAGACACCAGGAAGAACCAATTCTCTAAGGCAGAAACTCCGAGACTTAGCTAGCACCACTCGGTGACAGGCCACTGCAGCACCTCATACTTATCAGCTGTGTATCATGCCCAAAGTCCTTAAAGGACAGGGGCTAAGCCCCCACTTACAGAATGAGAACCAGAAGCTGAGATGGGCACCTAGTCTACTGTGCAGGCCCAGCTGCCTGGCTTGCATGGGCTCCTTGCTCTTTACTACCTTGGGCCTGGTTCTGGTGAGGTACCAGCAAGGCCAACACAGGGAGGAGTTGAAGGAGCACCTTGCAAGGCGACATACTTGGTCACTGGGCGCCCAACAGCACCTGAGGATCACTCCCAACAGAGATGAAGTCAAGGTGCGGGGGGCACAAACCTCTATGCTCCAACAAGAGCAGAAGGAATGAAAAAAAAAAAGGACCTATTTACTTCAGAAATAGAATATTGAAGGAATAAACTCAGAAAGCCCACGAACAACGTTCATAACACGAACGCGCTAACAAAGCAGAACTCCTGACCCCTGCTCTTTCACATACTTAATAAAAGTGACTAAATGTGAACTGTACATTTACCTTGAACTGTAAAACATTATAGCTTACTACAACCAAGATCTCAGCATTTTTGAAGAGTGTGGGTAAGGGACGGGACACACTTCTACCTGGACAGTGTGGACCTGAGCCCCCAGGCTCCCTGTATGCCTGTTCTCACACTGCTACTGTTCCACAGCTTTACCTTAGGAAACTACAGGAGCAGAGACACCAGCTCTCCTTATAGCCTTCTGCCAAGGCAGGGCTAGGCATGTAGGACCTCCATCCTACACCTCTGACAGTGGCATAAGGAAGGGTTGAGAGGTAGAGCTGACAGGCAAACCTGCTGCAGAGGCAGGATGCAGAAAGAGCTTTCCAGGGAGCATATGACTTGCCCCTACTGGGAAGCAGGGCTGTTAAAAAGCTAAAAACACTTCAGGAGTGCTACCCACTAAACCATTTGCTTGTTGCTGTGGAAGGAAATACTCCAAGGTTTGCCTAAGGGCCAGCTGCTGAAGTGTCTGGAGGGCCGGAAGCCCAGGCTTGCCTCTCCCATAAGCAGGCCTTGCGTGACCACTTCAAAGTTTAGTCTGTACAGATGTACACTGTGAACAACAGCCAGAAAACAGTCTGTTCCTTCTCGCCTATGACCTGCAGAGGCCACCGGGCACTACCAGACACACAGTCAGCCAAGTAGGTCACTAGAAGCCTGCCATGTTTTGGCTGGTGGTAATGTTGGAGTAGCACTAGGCCAGTACAGACGTGAGCTACTGGGTTACACACGAGGCGGTCTAGCTGTTGCTACTCCAAGGTCTGGGTGCCTCAGGTCTATTAGGGAGCCTCCAGGTTTGGCATGTACAATGGTAACTGGAGATCATGGTTCAGGACTCAGCACCAGGATCTGGACCTGTTACTTCATAGTATGACTTTGGCAGAGTTGAAGGTTACACACAGGAGAAAAGAATGGGGCAGGGAGATGGCTGAGGTATTAAGACATTCCCCTCACTGGCATTTCTACCTGGACATGCCACAACAAGATAAAGAGGGCATGTGAGAGTGACAGCACTCTTTCTAATGACTCCTTCCACCACTGAATGCAGGACACAGCATGGACAGGCAAGTCTTCCCAGAGTCATGAGGGAGGGTAGACATGTTTACTATCCCTCACACACAGCCCTCTTACAGCCCACGCCAACTGCTGGAATATTGTGACAAACCTACATTTGCAACAAGGGAGCAGGAGTTAACCAGACTGAACAACTCTGCAAACAGGACCAAAGCCCCTGCAAGGTCTCTAGCAACCCCACTGAGCTGTAGCTGCAGCTTGGATAGCAGAGGCTTGCCCTAGCCTGCTGTCAGAGGATGGTCCTTGGTCTGAATTAGGGTTACAGTTAGCGTTAGGTAGGGCTCAGCTGGCAGCACATTGGGAAACAACTGCTCTGTTAAAACTGAAAGCAAGCTGCCAAGGTATCCAGCATGTGCACAGCTGACTGTGCAGCAGATTACTGGGCACCAGCACAGGAGCCTTGTGCTGCAGGGTGCTATGGGACTGTCACCTTTGGATTGTGTCTTCTCACAGTTGGGAGAGATGATGATGCACTTCAGCTTCCTGAGCTTCAGGTGTTTCAGGACTTCCCTCAGGCCCAACACGAGCCGGCGTTTGGTCTTGGCCTTGACAGGATCCTTCTGGTACATCCGGTCTTGGAAACGCACCAGTTCCTTAAGCAGACCAGTGACACAAGCATCTACTTCTTTACTAAGCATCTGGCTACAGTAGCTGAAAGGAACCCGAGGGAAAGGGAATGCAGTCAGCATCAGACAAAAGCCATGGACACACTAGCACTCACCAGGACCATGCGACTCCCTCCACTACAAGGGAGGAATGCTAGGGGGACCCTGCCCTCCAAGGCTTGTACAGACCGAGTCATCCTGCTCTGAGCATGGGCACATGATGGGCTGTCCTGAGGAGCCCTGGGAAAGAGGCATGACCAATGCTGAGTGGTGCATCATACCCTGGGGAACTGAACTGAAGCCAGGTATGGTGGGCTACACCTGTAACCGCAGAATTCAGAGCTGAGGAAGCAGGAGTGTGAGTTCAGGGCCAAAGCTAGCCTGGACCACTCAGTAAGTCTGTCTCCAAAAAAGGTAAATATACAAAAAGGAAGGAAGGAAGAAAAGAGGAAAACACTGGAGGGAAAAAGAAACTGCTGTGGAACTGAAACATGGAAGGCCCCAGTTATCATCACAGCCACCTTACCCTATCCCGACTTCAAAAGTGGACTAAGGACACCTATTCAGTCACTATCAGCAGGACAGACCCACAGAACCAGCAGTCACACATAGGCATAGATGCCCACCCCACCCCTCAACTACCCAGCTCATCTCAAGCACAGGACTGAAACACATTGTGTATTCAGCCACGCCAGCCTATGCTGGTGCACATACATAGGCAGGAGAAGTCAGAGCCAGCCCCCACCCGAGCCCTAGCAGCAAGTGCTCACTCACTCCCGGAACCTTCGGCTGTGGATCTTGGGGAAGCTGCCACTGTCAGGGGCAGGCTGGCAGGCCTCTGGGTCCCTCTGGAACTCTGTGCCAGTTGGCTCTTCTGACTCACCCTCAACCACAGGTATAGAAGACACTGATTCTTCTGTCTTCTCTGGACCTTCAGAGAGGGGGAAATCACTGTGCACTTCTGAGAAAAAAGCCTTGCAGAGAAGACAGCCTCTTGGTGCCAGTGATACACCAGTAATCTACCAACTTAGAGAGCTGGGCAAAGGAGCAACAGAGTCTTGGAGGAGGCACAAAGCCTGGCAAGGGGAGCTTTCTGGTCTTTCCTAATAAATGGCACCTCCCCTCTCCATGTCTCTTCACTTCCTCATTTTCACTATGGTGAAATACAGAAAAGTTACCATTAAGTGTGAAGTTCAGTGGCAAAATCTACTTTTTACATTTGGAATCTAAAGATTACCATATTAGGAAAACTTAAAGAGCAGGGTTAGTTGCCAAACAGAGTGGAGCACGCTTTTAATGCTAGCACTCAGGAAACAGAGGCAGTGATCTCTTTGTGTTTAGGGCTGACTGGTCTGCATACTGAATTTCAGGCTAGCCAGGGCCACAAAGTGAGACTCAAACAACAAAAACCTTTAGGGTTAGCAGCACACAGGAGGCTGAGGCAGAAGGACTGCCATGGCCAGACACAAGGAAGGCCTAGGCTACAGTCAGTTTGAGGCTAGCAACCTCAGCAAAAACCAAAGCAACACAGAAAACCAAAACCAAAACAACTAAGACAAACCGTAACAAAACGCCTACGATGTTGGACTAGGCAATGTATAACGTACCAGGTGGAGTCAGTAACAGCGTGGCATCTCCACAGAGCACCAGAATGAAAGCAAGGTAACATCACAAGGGATGGAATTCAAGAGCACACTCCTCACCCTCTGTTGCGGCAAGCATAAAAAGACATTACTCTGGGACAAGGGTGGGAACGCCTATAAGGCTTATCCGCTCAACTGTTGATGGCAGAACACCTGTAGATGTGTGGCAGGGCCTCTAACAGCAAGCTTGCTCCAGGAAGTACTTCTGTCTTCCTAGAGACACCAGTAACACTGTCGAAGGCAGACTCACTTCCACCAGCTACCCTGGTGTCCTCCCACACTGGGCACACTTAACCAACTATACACTATTCAGAACTCAAAACAGTACTGCTCCACATGCCAGGAAAGGGAGCAGAGTCAGTGTGGCACACACCACAGCTGCACTGCAAAAGGTAACAGCCCTGCAGCTGGTACCATGCTGGGGCAGGAAGCCTGGGGGAATCCTCTGACTACACATTCTGAGGAAGGTAACTGGGCTGTTCTCCTGCTGTGAAAAGTCCTTGAGCTACACACATTTGCACTATGAACATTCCCTGAACATACAACTCCGCAGAAAGTCTTCTGGAAAGCCATACACATTAATTGTTTTGACACCAGGTCTCACACACTTGGTAAATAGCCATGTGGTTGGAGATCCTAGCGTCACTCAAGACCAAACCTCTGCCCGTAAAGCTCGACTGTGGAAACCATGTCTTCTAGGTTCCATGCTGACTTGCATTTTGCCACAGGCCTGTGTGGGGTTGGCACAGTCCCAGTTTCTACCACAGCTCATCATTTTCAAGGCAGCTCCCTCCTGAACGATTATTTCAGATCCACATAAACTGGTACCTGTGGGGTTGGCCTGGTTGGGGGCTTGGTCACTGGCACCACTATCCACATCCTGTGCATCGCTGTTGGCGACAGTCAGGCTCACAGCACTTTCTTGGAGTCGCTGCTGCATTCTCTCTTGACGTTCTTTCAAAATTATCTAAAAAACAAAATAAAACCATTAAAACACCTAGATTCTCGTACTTAAAAGATAAGCTCTTCTGCCTGGGAATGCCCAGGTTCAGCTTGCCAAAAACACCTAGTCATGCCTTGCTTTGATGATGGCCCCTCCATGACACATCTGACATGAGCAATGCACAAGGCTCAGAGGCCACTGTGTGGTACAAGAGTCACCCACCACGGCATTTAAATGGACACAGCACACACTGCAGGGCCACCTGGAGAAAAGGTCTTCAGAGAAGCCTTCATAGTCATTTGCAGAGTCCCAGAGGAGAAGCAGAGTATGTGAGGAAGGAAAAGGCAACTCCCCCATGTCTGGGTTTCTGGACTGCCACAAGGGAACAAGAAGACATTTTTCTTTGCCTCATTCCCAGTCTTGTTATAAGGAGAGGGTGAAGGATCATTTGCCAGGGAAAACTGACACAATTTGGTACAACACTGATTTGCAACATAAACCTTAAAAGCCAAGGAGTGAGCCTGGGCGATAGCTCAGTGGTAGAATGCTTACATAAGCAACCCCCCAGTTTCAAGCCCCAGAACAACAAACGAAAAGCAAAAGGGCAGACAGCGCACAGTCCATCAATCTTCCAGTGCCTTGCTTTCATGAAAATAGTCCACATACCTTCTTCAGTGAGGTGGGCTTCTTGGCCTTCGGGATTTCCCTCTGCTTCCCCTTCTTCATCAGTGGGGCACTGGAGTCCAAGGGATTGTGTGGGGTCTTCACCTGACTGGAGCGGCGACCCCTCTCACCCGAGGAGGCGTCCTTTGAAAGGACTGGCACTGCTCCAACTGCAACACAGTGGGGGAATGCCACATGGTCCCTGCCTGGAGGCCCTGGCCACCTCAGGGCAGCCTGAGGACCCGGAGGAGTCTCCCACGTACCCGGGATCCACCACCTTTCTGACTTTAGTCAGACCACCTTTTCATGGGCACGGGTTCCAATGGTGTTTATTCTTAGCCCGCAATCACTCTGGGAAGGCCTGTCCTCTAACCATATCACACAGGCTGTGTCTCAATATAGTCTAAAACTGCAAGGATCACATGGCTTGATCTGGGCTATTCTGAGGTGGTCTTGTCTTTACTACAAGTAGCTCCTGAGAAACTGTTTACCACCATACACTCAGCTGGTACTACCTCTGTACAAGCTGACCAGTACTTTCTTAGTAACATTGTTTGTCTAGTTATATTACAGGGCTCCGATAAATTTCAAGTCATGCTTCTAGTTGTTCTTGAGTTTTCTGTATATAAACATGTTCTGACTCCCAGTGGGCAGTCGGGAACAATTTCCCCAATCAATAACTGCAATAACTACTCAACACTAGTTTAACTTTCCCACTCTACCCAACTTCCTGCCACAGTGCTGTTTTAAGGAAATACTTAGCCCTTCTGTGCTCTACTCCTCTCATGTGTGAACACGAAGTATGCTGAGCATACTTCTCCTCACTACTCTCTTTTTTTGCCCCTCCCTGCTCCTGTCAGCCCCTTTGATCTCCCAGATGATTTTTACGATTTCTAAAATGCCAAATAAAAAGGAATGGTAACCAACAAACCCCCATGCGCCCACCACCTTGTTCCCAGAACTCTCAGAATCTGTCTAAGCATGTCTTGGCCACTCCCTCATGGAGTATCATCTTAAAATAACTAGTGTTTCATCCACCCAATCTCACGTGTGCAATCCCCAGTCACTTACACAACTTGTGCAGACAGGTGACCCTATCTCTTCTAGGCTTCTTCTCACTCTACAGCACAGCAGCTTGCATCTACAAACCCTTACTCTCATATGGTGTTTGGAACAGACATGTGCCTTAGAAGGCCCCTATTTATACCCACTTGCTTGCCTGACAACTAATGGCATCACTGAATCCAGCCTCTCAGCTGAAAAAAGTTGAACTTCACATCAACAAACCAAAGGGGCTGGAGAGATGGCTCAGCATTTGAGTACTTGCTCTGTAATCATGAGAACTGCAATTTGGATCTCAGCACCCATGGACCAAGCCACGTATCCTTTGCACACCTGTAATCCCAGCTCCAAGGGTATCAGAGAGGAAGATGGCTGAGGCTTGATGGTTTTCAGCCTAGCTGAGAAGAAAAGCGCCCCAGGCTCTAGGAGAAACCCTGACTTAACAGGAATGAAGAGAATGATAGAGAAGACCCAATGCCCTCTTCCAGCCACCCTACTTGCACATCCACAGACTTCTCAGAGAGCCCCTATGTACTGACTATACCTATCCACAGTGGTGTCCGTAGTGGTCTGAAGAAGAATGGTCCCATAGACTCATGTATTTGAATGCTTGGTCCCCAGTTAATGAAACTGTATGGGAAGGATTAGGAGATGTGGCCTTTCTGGAGAAGGTGTGTCATCAGGGTGGGCTTGAAGTTTCAAAAGCCCTTGACAGGTCCAGTGTCTCTTTCTCTCTGCCTGCTGCCTGTAGATCAGGGTATAAAGCTCTCAGCTACTGCTCCAGCACCATGATGTCTGCCTCCCTAGATCATTATGGAGTAACCCTCTAAGACTGTAAGATGGTCCCCATGTAAATGCTTTCTTTAGTAGGAGCTGCCTTGGTCAAAGTGTCTCTTCACAACAATAGAACAGTAACTAGGACAGTACCTGACCCACCCACACAAGGGGATCCATGAAAGCAGAATACAGTGAAGGCCCTGGAAAAGCAGCACCTCACAAGGACATTTTCTGCCACACAATCTCATCATCACATAAAGGGGTAACTGGGCCAGCAAATGGATCAGCTAGTAGTAGCACTTGCCCTGCAAGCCTAACAAAATAAGTTTCTCCCTGGAACCCATGGCAGGATAAAGGGGAGCACCTCTTCAAATATGATGATTCTTAATGCTTTTTGTTTTCCAAGAGAGAAATGGTTACTCGGTATAGCCCTGGCCATCCTGGAACTCGGTTCTTGACTCTTAAAGATTATACTTAAATATATTTGGAATTTTTTTTTTTTTTTTTTTTTGAGACAAGACTCACCATGTAGCCTTGGCTGGCCTAGAACTCTCTATAGACCCCACTGGTTCATTTGAGCTTGTTTTCCTCTAGGGGTGAGTAGACTCTGTTCTCCTATACCACATCATCCCAGCATCTTTCTGAAGAGAATGTTCTGTTTTCAAATGGACTTGGCACTCCTGTCAGTTATCAACTGGCATAAATGTTCAGGTTCATTTCTGGACTTTCCCAGCACCCTCTGGGATGGTAAGTAACTTTGACGAACAAGGAAACATTTAGAGAACAGCCTCTTGGAAGCAGCAAAGGTCCCTACCTGAGAACACAACGGGTCTGGAGGACGGCTTGGCACGCGGGGCTTGCTGCTGCTTCTCCAGCGCTGCCAGCATGCCCCCCAGGTCCAGCTGCACTGGGATCTGGCTCTTCTTTCCACTAGTTTTAAATTCATTCTACAAAGTACAAATTTACTCCTAATAGTGTCTCTTATTCATCAAGAGTTACATTTTGCAAAAAGTAAGATAAAATGAGCAGACTAAAATGTTATAAAAAACATTAAAGCTTCTTTGGTTTTGTTAAATCAAGTAATTAAAAAAATTCCTATCTCTTGCCATCATTACTGGGGTTGGTTACTCCTTTCCATCTCTGTCTGCACCTCCATTGTGGACTTACAGCATAGAATGACAGGTAAAAGACCAAAGCTTATGTGACATCTTTGGCTACAGGAGTCTGCGAAGATGGGAAAGGAGGCATTCTCCTGCAACTCCTGCCTGCAGGAGGAGGAGGCAGAAAGACTGCTGCTTGATCTCTAGTGTGAGACCTTGTCTCAAAAACAAAGACAAACAACCCACCCCCCACCCCAAAACCCCTAAAATAAAAGTTTTTCTGTGAGGCACCCTGGTTAGAACTATGGCCTCCCTGGCTCATTGCTGTCTGGGCTGGGTAAAAGAGTGTTCCCCTCTTCAATTTCTAGGCAGTGTGCCCCCTCCTGACAGCAACTGTAATTACCAGGCCTTTTTTCAAAAGGGACAAAATGCTTCAAATAAGCAGAGATTCAGTTGTTCTCCCTGGAAGAGTACATCAAAAGAAAGCCCTACACGAAGACATTTGGAGAGCAGATCCTCTCAATAGTTTGTGTAGCAGAACACTTATATAAAAAGCAAATGTGGCTGTAATCTTACACTAACCTGCACCTGCTGTTTACTTTGAAGTTTCGGTGATTCTACTCTGTGTCTTCTTTCAGATGCAACTGACAGGTTGGGGAATTCCTCGGCATCCTGAGGAAGAAAGCACATGTTCGGCTTCCTACATGGTGATGAGGAGCTGCACAGAGGCTCTCCCTGACTCACACTTTTTCCTAGTTAAGGCCACAAAAGTTTGAAAAGGTGATTATACAACATCTCCAAAATGCTATCATGGCGAACACATCTTAAGACCACAGTTCTATCGCTCCTGTCCAGATACAGAAGAATTGCTGCTCAGGACCTAGGTACTGCAGAAGTCCCCAGAACTGACCATGCTTCCTTAACATGAGTCTATCAAAACGTGTTCTTTAAAAAGACTCATGTTTTTCAACAGAGACACACAGAAATCCAAAATCCGTATACTTAAGTACTCTAGGACTTATGCCAAAGAGACAAAGGCAATAAGCCTGCTAAAAATAATTAAAAATATCTTACACCATTTTGTTAGAATTTTGTTAGCATTTTGGGTGCTTTGGGGCAAAGTCACATGGGAATTAAGGCAGAAGCACAAGCAGTTCACTGGCCTAACCACAGTACTTTGACTTACACCTAACTGCTCTTCTGGAATGTTACAAGACTCCTGGGAATGACCTTTCCAGTTCTGTGGGGATGTCCTGGGCAGTGCCCCTGGGAGATCTTGTGCCTGTGTAAACAGCAAGGCTCCGAAGACTGCTAGGGGAGTATGAAAAGATAAAAAGGCCAGTGTGAAATGCAGTCAGAACTCAGGCTGGCTCTTTAGTGTATGTGAACACAAATACAGGGATCTACAGACAACAATTACTATTTCTGGAAGTTATTTCATGTGATTCTCTTGCTGGGTGTCTACCAGAAACCTATGGCATTCTACACTTCTCTTTAATATCGAAGAACTTCACAAGACACTTGACCAGAAAAGGAAGCCTAGCAAAAGCTGGCACTGAAAAGTGTGTAGCTCATGAGGAGCAGAATGGAAGGAAAATGAGTAGCATGGAACAGCAGATATTAAATTCCAGCCAGATTATTCAACCATTAGCCTATTCATGAGCTTACCAAGAGCCGGCAAGGAGATAGCCTGGGAACAGGAGAAAAAAGGTGACAGACAATGCTGTTCTTTTTGCTGTTGTTGACAGGTTCCCAAGTAGCCCTTCAAACTGTGTAGCTGAGACTTTGCCAGTTACCTTGGGTTTATTTGTTTTTTGTTGTTGTTATCCCCCCCCCCCCCCCCCGCCAGAGCTGAGGACTGAAGCCAGGGCCTTGCAAGCGCTCTGCCACTGAGCTAAGTCCCCAACCCGAGGATGACTTTGAACTCCCAATCCTACCTCTGCCTCCCATCGCTGGGAGCACAGGCATGCACTACCATGCTGGAGAACTGTTACATTCTTTAGCGGTAGGAAAAAGCTTGCTAACGAGGGCATCAGAGATCCTTGATTTAGAAGCCTAAGAAAACCCCACACTTTCCCCACACAAAGCTTGTAGTAAATATACATACTTCAATCCGTGGTGGCTCCTGAACTGTCACGATTTCATAACTTGATTTAGACTTGTCTTTCTTTTTCTTATTCTTTCTTGAGCTTTCATTTTGTTCAAGTTCACCTCCAAGTGATGTTTTGGCCTAGATAAAAACACAGAAAGGGACTGAAGAGATGGCTCAGTGGTTAAGAGCACTGGCTGCTCTTCCGGGAGTCCTGAGTTCAATTCCCAGCAGATAGCTCATAACCATCTTTAACTGGGTCTGGTCCCTCCTCTGGCATGCAGATGTACGTACAGAAACAAAATTTACATAAATAAATATTTTTTTTAAGCACAAAGAAAAACCTGTATTTAGTAGAGTCTTTGACCCGTGTCAAAACAAAATTAAAATAGCAAGTTTAGAACTTTTCCAGAGATTTGGGGCCTAGACAATGAGTGCTCAGCTTGAGGTCAGCCTCTGAGGGAGCTGCTCAGTCAGGTGTACCATCTGGCCAGCAGAGGCAGGTTCCTGTCATCTGCACAGGCGTCAGACTCCTAGGAGCCTCTGAACAAATCCCACCCTAGCCTGTAGGCTGTCTACCAGTTGCAGACTCTAAGCTTTCTCCTCCTGCCTGAGGCTGATGTGCACTTAACACGCGTGAACTGCATTCTGTATGACCCAGCTCATTTCTAACTGGCTCCTCCATCTGTCTTGATGTCTAGAGAACACTAATGCTGTGTTCTGTACCTGCATTCTTTCAGCCTTTTTCCAGTAGGCTGAACCCTATCAGCACAAGGATGTTTTACAGTTTTGGAACTGCTCAAAGAAAGTTCAGCTGTCAGAAGTAAAAGGCTCGGCAGCCATAGAAAGGATGAGTAATCTTATCAACCTGAACGACTACCTGTTATGTTTAAGTAAAAAGGTCCAGTTTTAAGGAATTTTGTATACATGCCCAATGCCAATTTTGTTTTTTGTTTGTTTGTTTTAGTTATAAACTGGGATGCAGTTTGATGGCAGTGCATGTGCTAAGCCCTGGGGTTGACTACCAGTTCCCAAGGAGTGAGGGTACAAAAGTAAAATGAAGCTGAGAAAAACAACAGAGCTCCTTCTCGAGGCATTTATTTTTTGAAGCCTGCAGCAGGGTATACAATAACCTACTGTATACTGTATGCTGGCTTCCCTGAGGGCTGGAAACTGAGAACTATAGACAAGGGCCTGGGCCCAGGATTCACTCCCAGAACCAACCTGAAAAAGCAAATGTAATTTTAAAAAATTCAAACACATACTGAAGAGACTAACGTCCAGATGACTAGCCTCTTCTACCAACACTTGTCATTTGCACAGGAAGATTTCATAACAGAGACAGTGCCAAAGAAGAAAAGTGTACCATTCAAACCACTACTTTTCCTCCTTTTAAGGTGCAAAGCCACTTCTCTGATATCCGATTCCCAGATAGGGTCTCACTCCGACTCTGTGTACAGCCAATGCTGACCTGGTACTAGGTACATGCCTCACTGGCTTCAAATTTGTGACAATCCTCCCATCTCTGCCTCCCATGTTGCTGGAATTGTAAGCATCAGCCATCATGTTTTATCAAACAAGTTTTGTTTTTTCAAGACAGGGTTTCTCTTTGTAGTCTTGGCTGTCCTGGACTCGCTCTGTAGACCAGGATGGCCTTGAACGGCCTGCCTCAGCCTCCTGGAGCGCTGTGATTATAGGCATGCGAAACCACATCCAGTGTCAAACCAGATTTTAACTCTCTTACACTTAGAATTTTCCTAAAATACTTTCTGTTTGGTTTCTTTCTTTTCTTTTTTGAGACAGGGTCTCACTATGTAACTCTGGCTGTCCTGTAACTCACTCTGTAGACCAGACTGTCCTCACATCACAGAAATCTGACTGCCTCCTAAGTGTTGGGATTAAAGGTGTGCACAATGATGTGAGAAACAATTATAATAAATATTCTGAGACAGAGTTGGGCTGGTGGCCCCCACTTTTAGTTCCAGCGCTCCAGAGACAGAGGCAGGCAGATCTCTGTGAGTCTGAGGCCAGCCTGGTTGAAGGCAGCCGTGGCTACACATAAAAACCTTGTCTTGAAACAGGAAAATAAAATAAAAAATAAGAAAAAAAATCTGAAACAGATTCATTCTTCTGTGTTGCCTCACCACGGATGCAACCTGAGCAGGCAGCCACCATGCCCTTCCTGCCAGGCTACACCAAGAACTATGAGCCAAGGCAAACCCTCCTTCTGTTAAAGGAAAGCTCAATAAAAACCTGTTAATCTACAGGACACAGATCCCTCTCCTATTAGGACAGTGGCTTGAATGGCAACCTAGAAGTTACAACCAATAACTAGATAGAAGGTTGCTATGTCACCTGTACTCAGTTACTGGAAAAGGATTTAAGAAAAAGGGGGGGCACATGTGCTCATACTTGGAACCCCAGCTCTTAGAGACTGTTGAGTTCTAGGCCAGCCTGACCTCCACCAAAAAAATCAATACAAAACAAGACTCCTTAAAAACAAACAAACAAACAAACAAACAAACAAAAAACTGCATGAATTTAAGGAGGACAAAAATCTATTCTGAACTACTACCTTGTAAAAGGTAAACTAATATGTAATCTAATATGTAAACTAATATGTAATATGTAAATGTAATATGTAAAAGGTAAATTAATATGTGATCACAGTATCTGAAATTCAATTATGTTACTACCATTACTTTGGTCATATAACAGTTATTTAAATGCAACTGAAAAAAGTCTGAAGGAAAAAGGTACATTAAATACATATCAGAACAGAGGTAGGCAGATCCCTGAGTTCGAGGCCACCCTGGTCTACAGAGCAAGTTCCACAATAACCAAGGTTACACAGAGAAACCCTATCTCAAAAAAAAAACAAAACAAAACAAACAAAAAACAAAAACAAAAACAAAAACAAAAAAACAAACCAAACCAACCAACCAACCAACCAACCAACCAACCAACCAACCCAAGAGCAGTGAGAACTGCTGTGGCAGAGCACTAGCATGTATAAGGGATGCACACATAACTCACACTTTCTCTCTCTAAATGAAAATATAAACACTCAACACAGGTCCAGTTTTTTACAACACCTTCTCTCACATACAAAAGCTCTCTTATTTCCTGACTAACATCCCATTCTTTTGTCAAGGCTCAAGTTCAAAAAGCTCAGACTGGCTCACTGTCCCTTTTTCCCTGCTGTGGCACACTATATGTAACATAAACTCAACCATCCAGCCATGCTTAAGGTCTCAGTGGCTTTGCATCTAGGCCCACATTACATTAATGTTGTCAGGCAACTCCAGACCTCTCCCCAGATCTGTCACCAGTAAGCACAAACTGCCCATTCTTTTCCCATGTTAAAATTTAACATTTTAACTGGTTTTTTTAGAGACAAGAATTCACTATGTAGCCCAGGCTGGCCTTGAATTTACATTTCCCCTACCTCAGCCTCTCAAGTGCTGAATTACAGGCTTTGCCACCATGCCCGGACCCACCCTTGCCCTAGCGATGCATACCTTTGTAGCAGGGTGAACACACTTCTCCCTGTTGTGGGAAGGGTCTGAAGATAGAGCCTCAGGCGTCACACTGACATTTTTAGCATCAGCTGATGAAGCAGGCTTCTTTAGGTTTATCACGGAAGTGACATTTTCAGTCGCGGCTGCTGAATCTGAGGACACTGTCTGCCGAACAATATAACCCATTGGTGTCCAAGACAACTCTGCTTAAAGATAAGCGTAATTATGGATCAATCTCAACAGTAAATACATTTCTTGATTACTCAAACATGCACTTCATGTGGTAATTAACAATTAATAGTCAGAGCATAGCAAATTGACTGCGTCTGCTGGGTGGTGGAGGCACATGTCTTTAATTCCAGTACTTGGGTAGTAGAGGCAGGAAGATTTTTATGAGTTCAAGGCCAGCCTGGTCTATGGAGCTAGTTCTAGGAAAGCAAAGGCTATACTAAGAAATTTATCTTGAAACAAACAACAAATATACGGTGTCTAAAATACCACCATGGGAGACTACAGTATCTACCAACCAGCTGTCCAGAACACCCTCTAGAACTGATATTACTCACTGACTGTCCAAAACACTACCTCAGAACTACAGTATTCATTGTGTTCATTTTTCTTTTATAAGAACGCCTGCTCAGTCTCTTCCCCTTTAACTCATAATTGAACTATTTGCCTAGGTTTCTTAATCTGGGAGACACAGATGGATAGGCAAATAAGTCTGGTTCAAACAACAACCCACAAAATATCCACATGGCAAACACATAGCTGAAGAGTGAAGATCCACTTTGGGCCTACTAACCTTGCTCTGTGCCTTTTACAGCAGACTCAAAGGATCCACAGTCGTGTGCTGTCACAGTGACTGTCAACTTATTTCATTACAACACAGTGAAAGCACACTAAAGCTATTAGCTGCCCATGAAGCTCTACAGTAGACCAAACAAAAGGACATCCATCATGACAGGGACAACAAATGTCTGTCCCACATATAGAGCTACTGACACAGCCTAGGCAGGAAGAACTGCCCTGGGGTACACCATATTAAGCACAAGAACACAGGACCCTCGTATCAAGGAATGGTTTGGTCTTTTTGCTAGGGCAAGTTTCTGTAGCCCTCTCAGAAATACAGTCCCCTCACACTCTCTGAATGCTTCCTGGGGCTCCTGAAATGCCCACTGTTGCCCCCATTTTTCACTCTAAGGAATATACTGAAGGCTGATGGCAGTAACAATGAAAGAGCCAAATGCCAAAGCAGACCCACAGAGCTACATGCTAGAAGTAAAAAACTGAAATGCAAGTCTGCTCTAGTAAGCCTTTTAATTTTGGAAAAGACTGTTTTTTTTTTTTTGTTGTTGTTGTTTTGTTTTTTATAAAATTAAACTGTGTTTAAAACGCAATACACTTAATGTTTTTAAGTGGAGGATATGTTGTTTTATGAGACAGAGTCTCACTGTGAAGACTAGCATATCCCAGAACTGTATGTAGTTCTGGCCTTAAACTCTGGCAAAACTCTTGCCCCAGTCTCCTAAATGATGGGGTATAGGCCTGGCAATAAAGTAGTATTTACTTTAAAACTTTATCTAAGGCACAGTGCAAATATTGTTATCACTTAAATATAAAGATGCTCTGGGACTCTGACATTTTAAAAGTATAATGCATTCTACAGGGCTGAAAGAAGTCCTCTTTTTTAGATTCATAAAGTTCTCTCTTACCAGGGCTTCCATTCATTTAGAATATGGCCTCTCATTTTACACTGCTATCACGGATATGGGCTCCTACATTCTATACTAACACTGATGCTGGTTTTTCAAAACTCACTAGCTGTCTTAAAGGCAGCTTCAGAGGAGACAACACTTAACTACACTGGTGTTAAAAGTGCTTAGAAAACAGCACTTTGTGATCACTCTTACCTCGTGTACACGAAGAACTGGTAGCAGCATTATCAGTCACAGCTCTGTCAGTGTGACTTGTCTTCACCATTTCGCCCTAAAGAGAGCCCATCCAATATAATTAGGGGAAAGCCATTTAAAACAACACAGAATCGCACACCTTTTAGAATGGCCAAATTATACAACCATGACAATCTGGTGTGGGAATACAAAGCAGCAGGATGCTCACTCATTGCTGGGGGGGCTCCACATGCGGCAAGTGTGGAGAAAAGGTTAACGGCCTACAACTGAGCTGACAAACCATGAAAACAGACCAGTGCATGTTACCAAGCAAAAGCAGCTACAGAACACATGATTCCAACTCTATGCTGTTCCAGGAAAGACAGATGAGCAGAGGCTGCAGGTGCTGGGGAGAGATTACAGGTGAAAGATCTTCAGGGCACCGATACTACGCTAATGACATAATGATGGACACCTGTCATTCTTTGTCCACCTGGAATGACACAGATGTCAATTAGGAATGCCAGGGGTAAGAAGCATGCCCACGAAGCTGCCTTACTATAACAAACCATGGAAGCTGGAGTGGATATGATAAGCAGCATATAAGAAAGACTCTGTCCCTACCTCTCAATTTGCTGTGATTCTAAGATAGTATAACAAGTACACAAACCCAGCTTCCTATTATTTGCTTCTTATTTCAAACAGAAAGGAATCATTTAATTTTTATGAACAGCTTTTCCTGAATTCTTAAACTCTATAAATACATGCTAATTAAAAATCCAAATATCAGCTAGATGTTGGTGGCGCATACCTTTACTCCCAGCACTCAGGCAGGGACAGGAGAAAATCTGAGTTCGAGGCCAGCTGGTCTACAGAACAAGTTCTAGCATGGCCAGGGCTACACAGAGGAACTGTCTGGAAAAGTAAACAAAAGATTCCAAATATCTAAGTATACAACAAAAAAAGTTTACTTTTTTCCCAGCAAACTTTCCCCTACAGTGAAAAACAAACAAACAAAAAACAAAAACCAAAACAAAACAAAACAAAAAAACAACCCACCCGCTGTCTTCAGCTTAGGCAGTACCTTTCAACTGTTTTTATATAAGCGGAACTTTTATATACCATCAACAGAAGAGGTACAGTGTGTAAAAAGAGTTACAGTGGTGATGTATGTCCACATATTCTCTCTCACACACAAATAAAATGTGAAAAATCAAATAAACAAATTATACACCCACACACTCCACAAACAACTTTTCAGGATAGTATCCCTACACATCTATAATTCACAAATTCCAACAGTCCAGCTAGGTGTGCTGGCAAAGGGCTTTAACCCCAGCACTCAGTTGGAGGAGACAGGTGGATCTCCAAAGTGACTTCCAGGGCAGCCAGGGCTATATTAATAGACCTTGCCTCACAAAACAAACAAATAATCAAACAAACAAACAACACTCCGAAAACTCATTGGTCCTAAAGAATGTTCACATACCAAGACACAAAAGAATCATCACATCAAAATAAAGCATCCACAAAGTCAAGAAGTGCATGTGCCTCCCAGGAAGCAGCTGCCTCGCCTCCTGCCTGTGGGGCATGTGATGGCGAGGCAGGATGCAGGGACATACAAACACAGCCCAGAGGGACTGCAGTACCAGCAGAGGCAAGCAGACACGCTGAATCTGTGCTTGTTACACAGACAACAGATTTTAAATGATTTTTTTATTATGTTTTGTTTATGTTATATATATATAATATATATATATATATATATATATATATATATATGTTATATATATATGAGTGCTTGTCTGCATGTACACCTGCATGCCAGAAGAGGGCATCAGATCTCAGTATAGATGGTTGGGAGCCACCATGTGATTGCTGGGAATTGACTCAGGACCTCTGGTACAGCAGATAGTGCCCTTAACCTCTGAGCCATTTCTCCAGCCCGATTTTAAATGATTAAAATGATATTTTTGTGTATATGAGTGATTTGCCTACATGTATGTCTGTGAACCATCTGCATGCCTGGTGCCCACAGAACTCAATAGAGGACATTAGATTTCCTAGAACTGGAGTTACAGATGGTTGTTAGCTGCTATGTAAGTGCTGGGAAATGGACCCAGGTCCTCTAAGAGAGCAGCTAGTGCTCTTAACCTCTGAGCCACTGCTCCAACCCTTAAATATATATATATATTTTAGGTTTAAATGATTTTTAGGTTATATACTTTACAAATTTATCCACTTGCCATTTTATTATTTCATTATGTTCAGCAGCCTAAACTACAATTACTAAAATGTAGCCTAGGACTGGGGCTGTACCTCAGCAGGTGGGCATTTGCCTAGAACTTGGCAGTACCTATTCATATGCTTAACAACATACACACCAAAACAAAACACCTGTGCTTTTCATAAATATAACTGCCAGTTCACAAAGACCAATGAAAACTACAAACAACTTACTTATTCAGAATAGTTTAAATAAATTATAGCTAGCAACAGGACAGATCCAAAAGCAGTTGTTGTGAAAAAAAAAAAATAGTTAATAAAATGGAAAAAAGCCCCAAAGGATTTTAAATATTAAAAACATGCATGCATAACCTCTAATTGAGGGAACGCTTGTATTTCCACTGTGTATTATCATCCTAGTTAGAAGAATTAAAAAGAAATCCTGTTTGTGTGTTGCTGAGGCTATGCATGTGAGGTGGGGTCAGAGTGGACAAGGTCTGGCTTGGGTTCCTGTCCTGCAGCCTCTTTGAGACAGGGCTTCTTGCTCATCACTGGAAACCTACCCCAGGCTGGCTGGCACAAGCTTTGGATGATTCTCTGTTTCCCTTCTTCCCAAGAAAGTCCTGGAATGACAGACATGGGCTGTGCTTGACTTTTTCAGGGGTTTTGGGGGATGCACGAAGGTCCTCATACTGGTATAACAAGCCTTTCCCACCGAGCCAGCTCCACAGCTTCACCAAGGTGCAGCAGTCTCAAAAACCACTAAGCGTAGAGCTGAAAAGATGGCTCAGCAATTAAAATTACGTACAACAATGGAGAAAACCTGAGTTTGGTTCCCAGCACCCTTGCAGGTAGCTCCCCAATCACATATAACTCCAACTCCTGGAGACCTTATGCACCTGCACTCACAAATGCACAATTCTGCCACTCACATGCACACTTAAAAGTAAATCTTTTCTAAAAAGCTTAAGTGCCAGCATAGTGCTTCCTAGTATTTCAGACAATTACTTTGAGAAACGGTTTTTCCTGTCATTTACAGATATTAGTGATATAAAGGGGGGTTTAGAAGAATAAAGGCCTTACATTAACTCAATAGAGTAGGGCAATCGGTGTGTAAGTCACCTTCCATTAACAAAAGAGCTTCACTTCATGCTCAGATATGTAACACTATGTACTGGTGACCTTGATGTGGGTCAGTCCCTCCCTGCTGCTCTCTGTCCATTACAGCTGGCACAGTACCCTGCACTACTTTGAGGCCCGGAACAGCCACTGCCTAATTCAGAGAGGCTCAGGGAGAAGCCACACACCTACTAGCTGAACTGTGCCTTGAACTATAATTTTTAGACAACCAGTAATCTGCTTTACTGTGCACATACCTGACACTGTGATAATGCAGTAAGGGTCCACACATAGGAAAGGAAACAGAATGGCATATTTTCTCATGAGTCAGCCACTGAAGAGCCTTAGGCCTTTGGATAAGGTGCCTACTAAGAATGCCAAAAACAGGAAGGGATGCATGGCTTTACCCTTCTTCTTCCTGTTTCCATGCTGTGTGGTACCCTTCCCTTGGGTAGGAATCTGCCCCAAGTTATTTTAGTGATTTACTTATGGTTGGGGTCTGAAATGTCATCCCAGAAGCTCATATGTTTGAATACATTCCCTGAGCTGGTGGTTCTGTTTTAGGAGACTGTGGAACTTTTAGGACATGGAAACTAAACGCTGGAAGCAGCTCACATTTTCTGGGGGTTACAATTGCTTGCGGTTCAGATGTGCAGTTTCTTGTCCATTCAACGTACGTGAACAAGCCACCACTTTACATCCCATACCTTCCCATTACAATGCCCTGCACCCTCGGAAACCAAGAGCCAAACAAGTCTTCCCTCCCTATCTTGGTCACAGCCATACAAAGTGACTCACAAAAGAATCCACTTTTACTCCCTAGAATTATGAGTCAGTCTTTGGGGAAAAATGGTTTAATTTGGTGGACTAAAACTTTGAGACTATTGTAGTAACCACTGCTGAATTTACTGTTAATAATGAGGTGGGGGAGGGTGGTGCTGGAGAGATGGCTCAGCAGTGAAGGACACCTACTGCTCTTCCAGAGGACCCAGGTTCAAATCCCAGCACCCACATGGCAGCTCACAACTGTCTGTAACTCCAAGATCTGACACCCTCAATAGACATACATGTAGGCAAAGCAGCAATGCTCATAAAAAGTAAATAATAGTAATGATGAGATAAAACCGAGACGTAAAGAGCCTAGAAATTCCAGAGCAGCTTTACCAGGTGAGTTTTAAACATAACTGTTCTATATTGCGCATGTTTACTTCTTTGTGTGTGGGGGAGGTGGTATGCAAGGGCCAGGGCTTGTCTGGAGGTCAACGGACAAAAGGTTCCTGTCTCTTTAAATACCGTAAGAATGCAGTGCTTTAGGTTGACACACAGGCCCTTTGTCTCCTCTGAGCTATCAGGTTTAAAAGAAGCACATTCAGAAAAGAGCAGCAAGCACTAGATGTTACAATCCTGTTACAGCCAGGCTGGCCTGGTGCGAAGCCAAGGCCTCTCCCCAATACCTTTTCCACAACAATGTGTTTGGTAGTCACAGGCCATAGCAGCTTTTAATACACAAAGTATTTAAAGTGGAAGAACACAGAGTCCTGTGTGGGGGATAGAGAAAACAGACAAACAAGCCCGTCGACTCACCTCTACCATCTGTGCAACTGGCTTGCTTACTTCTCCCAGGAGAGACATGTTACTAGCAGCAGCGCCAAGAGGCCCCCACCTGGGCTGCTTTGGTGTCTCTGGCATATTACTGTTCTTTGGACTCTGCAGTTCAGGAAAGTCCAATCTGCTAAATTCAAATTCAGGTTTGGAGGTAGATGTGTTTTTTGCAAGGATTCTGGACTTCCGGTCTGTTCGTTTGTGATAACCATCTATAATGACAGAATGAGAAGTTGGGATAAAAGTCAGGATATACCTTGCTCATTAGCACTCAAACCTGAACTTCAGGGAATCAAGTGGATGCAGGTGGCTGCTGTTAACAGCCTCAAGCTTGTTCCTACTGCTGTCCTTTTTACAGCAGCACGAGATAACAAATGACAACAGGCATCTACCTGAATGCACACTTCTGGGTAGCTCTAAAGCTGGTGAAAGGTGCTAAGCCTGACTGCACAGCTGGGCATCTTCATCACTCAGCTTTCAAGCGAGGCAAGCTTAAGGGGAGATTTCCTGTGAGTAATCAGCTTCCCCCCTTCTATCTGCTAGAGCAAAATGAATGGAGGTTGTTGTATGAAGCGTTTAGCCTCTTTCCCATAGTTCAATGTCACAGACAGTGAAATGACTGCAGTTCCATGAAGCTCCTCATCAAGTTATAAGGCTGAAGATAAAACACCTAACACTGAAATTTCCACGCTTTCATGTGCCAGGTGGCTCATGAGTAGTGTAGATGTGAATAGAAAAAAATACTAAACCAAATGAGAGAATTACATATGGACTTTCAAAGCCCCAAGTGAGTACACAAAAGCAAAAGCTGTAAGCCAGGTAGAGTGGTGCACAACTCTGATCTATTTGGGAGGCAGCGACAGATGATCTCCATGAGTTCAAGGCCAACCTGGTCTACGTAGTAAGTTCCAGGATACAAGAGGTACACAGTGAGACCCTGTCTCAAAACAAAACAAAAACCAACCAAACCAAACCAAACAAAGCCAAAGCTGTAAATCATTATAGAAATAGTGGAGGCAGTTAAAAGCACTGGCTGTTCTTACAGAGGACCTAGGTTCAACTCCCAGAAGCCAAAAGCTCACCAATGCCTCTAACTCCAACTCTAGGATATCTAATACCTTCACACTGACAATCATGCAGACAAAATACCACCACACATAAAATAAAAATAAATCCTTAAAAAAGGACTGTGTCTGTGATCAAACAGTACTAGTAAATAATTGACAGAAAGAAAGAACACATGCAGCTGAGAGCATGGCTCAGCAAATACTGCAAAGACTTGGAGGCATAAGAGAACTTAGAAGTAGCTCTTCCTAAGCATAGTGGTACGTGTCAATAATTGCAGCACTTAGGAGGTTGGAGGCAGGAGGATGGAAAGTTCAGGCCAGTCTGCTCTATTTAATAAGGCCTGGTCTCGAAACTAAAAACCACATAGGTACCAGGTAGATGGCCTCACTTTCAGTCAGGTGGGAACAGCAGCTTAGGAGCCAGGAGAGATACATGTATCTCCAGTAACCAGAGTGCCTGGCTTTGGTACCATTTAGCACAGGCTTTTAACTACAGTCAAATCTTTCTACTACTTCAAGTGTCCCCTCAGACTGAAAAGAAGCAAGCTCAGGAATGAGCATGGACACACACTGTAAAGAGACTTTGGCTGTGACTTGTTTTGAAGGGCATGTTCTGAAATTTGAGGTCATGACCTACATGCTATGTGATAGTCCTAACAGGCTACGGAACCTGAGTATGCAATGCAACCCGTGGCACACTGTGACAACCCATCCCCATGCCCACAACTGCCTAAGAAAAACAACATCCAGAAACCACAGTAAGTTTGATGGGCTGAGTGAGGCCAGGCTCCAAGGCACTTTTCTTGGGGCAATCATGATGTGCAAGCCCACAGGAACAGTACTGTTTGGGGAAGTTGAGAGAGACTGGTATTACACTAGATTTTGTCAGTTTTACCTGACTTCAAACTACTCTCAGCACGAGCAGACAGGTGGTATGAACCTCTCCCTGCTCTCATCTCAGACGGCAATGCACCATCAGCCCTTCTATTGTTTGACTTCTGCTCTTCACATGTTCTTCTCTCATCAGAGGATTTTTTCTGTAGGAGAGATTAAAAAAAAATAGTATGAAATAAGAAAACCACTACCACACTGATAATGAAACTTTGACATAGCCAGTACATATTTACAATTCAAACACTTAAGGAAAGAATAGAGCAATCTATTTGTAAAAAAGGCTGATCATCACAAAATGGTAAGCCATCCTTACATATCACACAACACACTAACATAGCATATTTTAAACAATCAAATGGCCAAAGTCAGGACACCACAAACCACAGCATTTCCTCACCTTAAATACACCTTTCGCTTCCTGAGGAGGAGGGCACATGTGCTCACTCCTGGGCTTTGCTGTCCGAAAGCCTGGGTGGCACTGGGCTTGGCTGTAATCATACTGCAGGGTTGGCACTGAGCAAACACTCTGTGCAGACTCAAGGGCATAAGTGGAATAGGCAAACGGATGCAGCGCTATCTCAGAAGGTACATACTGTGCTGGAAAGGCAGGGGCTCCAAAGGTCATGTCTTCAGGATACTTTTGTCTAAAAAGTATAAATTTCAGTTGTAGACTTTATAACACAAATCGACAGGAGTAATTGTTAAGACACTGGTTTGACCTTTTTAATATTAAGGATCATTTACTCTAGCATTGGAGAGTCCCCATCAACAAGCAAATGAGGGCTGGAGAGATGGCTCAGTCAGGACAGTGCCCACTTCACAGGCACAAGCCTGGGCTCTGGAGCCTACGTGAACAGCAGTGCATGGCAGTGTTCACCTGTAACTCCAGCCTAGAACAGGGGAGACAGGTCCTTGAACCTCAGTGACCTATCCAGCTGAATAATGCGCCTCAGGCTTAGTGAGACCTCTTCTCAAAGAATAAAATGGAACAATCCAGGAACAGTCTCAGGCTTCTGCAAACATGTGCACATTCACTCACATGCACATGGGCACATGCTACACACATACACCACAACCATGTGCATGCACATACATATACACAGCCAAATAGAACCTCTTTTTCTTCCTGCAAAGGATGCTGCTGACCTTTTGTTTAAAACTAATGAACTAGGGCTGGGTAATTGAGCTCAATGATAGACAGCTTTCAGAAAATGCACAGGCCATGGTTTCAATCCACAGCACCACAAAAAAGTAATCTGAAGTTGAAAATAAGTCTATATGTGACACCAGCATAGCAAGAACATGTGCCAACAGTTTAGGACCCTACTGCTGGTCAAGTACCTGACAATGTCTCGGCTGCCCTACACCGTAGTCAAGTCACTTCCTTTGCTGAGGAGTTGCCCTTCACAACCTCCTTCCAGGACCTCAGGATCCTGCACTGTGCTGTGAAAGCCAGTTGCATAGCACAGAGGCCAGGAGCCTTACAAGATGTGCACCTTAGTAATTATTCAGTAGGCCAGGGATGAACCTTAGGCCTTGTGTATGACAGAGCTTTACCACTAAGCTATGAAACTCCAGTCTATTTTTTTTACTGTTGAGACAGGGTCTTACTAAATTGTCCAGCCTGGCATGTTATCTATTTGATCCTTCCTTCTTGCTATTCATTTTCCCAACACAAATGTGAATTTGTTTGGTTCAGTTTTGCTCTGGTGGCTCTGAGGATCAAGCCAAGGGCCTGACAAACGGCAAACAAGCACTCTACTGAGGGACATCCTCAGTCCCTAAAGTGTGAAATAGTATCAAGTGTAAACAATTAAACCCTGTAACTGTACTTTCTTTTGTGTTTCTTTTCTTTTTCTTTTGAGTTTTGAGACAGGGTTTCTCTATGTAGCCTTGGCTGTCCTGGACTGGCTTTGTAGACCAGGGTGGCCCTGAATACACAGACAATTGCCTGCCTCTGCCTCTCTGAGTGCTGGGATTACAGGCATGTGCCACTGAGCCTGGCTCAACTGTCCTTTCTCAGTACAGTAGAGTCTGTCCGTTCTAAGATGACTTTTTAGCACAGACCCAGATCTCTGCTGGTTGAACAGCCTCCTTTCCTCACCTGCAAGATGTTAATGTCAGTGTTTCGGAGTATGTGAAGGTCTAGTCACTATCTGCGGGAAATAAACCTTTCACATAAGGCAAGGCATTTAGAAAATACATACTCAGTCACCGGTGATTCCTGCACAAATGGGTAGTAAGTGGTTGCACAGCCTGGGAAGACACATGCTTCTGAGGCCTCTGACCAAGCCATATTGAGCCCAGCAAACTTAGGAACAAATGGTTTGACATCAGCTGACAACTTGATGCTATCCTGAGGAAGAAAGGGTGCAGGGGTTGGGCTACAGAGATCTGCCATAGTCAGATAAACTAAAAACAAAAGAAAGGCCTTCATTCCAAGAGGCCCAATGCTGACTAAAAGGTGCATTGACAAAAATTTGTTTGGCAACAATATCTCTCTAATACTGTCTTCTTTTTTAGAAAAAGAAGTTTCCTGGGGCTTAACAGTAAAAACAGTTAAAAGTCGCAGTAAAATTCAACCTCGTTATGTAACAAGAATCACAATTTGCAACGTTCTGAAGCTTTAAACCGAGATTCTACTTCTTTCATCTTTATATATGAGAGATATAATAATCCTGAACCTGCTATAACCAAATATACCATGAGAATGCTCAAAACTGTACTTTAAAACACACTGCTAAAATTTACTGCCATTTAATTTCTCCACAAAAAAAGTACCAAGTACTAAGTACACCACACAGAACCTTTGCGAGAAAATCATCCCATGGTTATGAGCCCTTGGGACTCAAAACTGAGCTGTCTCGCAATACGGGGTAAGGTTATTTTGACAACTTCATCACCGTGTTTGGGCAATTTAGAGTGGATTTCTGTGACGGCCGGCGCGCCATCTAGCGGTCACGTAGGGAGCGGACGCGGGTCTGAGGCGCCCGAGGCCGCAGAGGCCTCTGTGGCATCATTTCGCTGCAGAGCCGTAGGAGAGTCAAGCCGCCCCACCCCCGAACCCCAGCCCTGGCTGCCCCGCGAGTCTGCCCAAACCCGCAGCCCGCCCCTTACCTCGCCTACGGACTCCCGCGGCCGCTCCGACGCCATGGCGGCCACGGAAGAGCCCGCGCCGTGAAGCCAGCGGCGCGCCCAACCAACGACTCGGCTTTTCCGCCTTCCGGCGCGGCGGCGCCAGGATGTACGTCACCGAAAGGCGACGGAGGCCCTTTCTGCCGGAAGCGCTCGGCGTCGCAGGTCTACGGGGCCGCACGTGCAAGTACGGTACAGCTGCAGCTTCCGGCGGTGGCTACTGGAAGGCCAGTAAGGGTGCGGCTGAGCTCTGCTTGCGTGGCCGGGCCTCGCGATGTGACTTCAGGAGGGAGGCCAGGCTCGCCCTAAGATAGGCGCTCACTGAGGCTACGCTGGCCCGTGGAGAGGGAGACTAGGCCGGGTGTGGTGGGGCATACCTTTAACCCCAACCCTTGAGAGGCAGAGGCCAGCCTAGTCCAGGATAGCGAGGGCAATTACTCAGAAAAATCCTGTCTAGAAAAACCAAAAGGAAGAAAAAAAAAAAAAAAAAAAAAACCGGAACAGGGTTCTGTTCTGTTGTCTGAGAAACATGTGCTACAGAGAACAGGCCAACTCAACACACTTAAAGGTCGCCTGCAATGTGGGGCATTTGGCACACAGGCCTTGATTCAAACTGTAGGTTTAGAATTAAACACCAGCCCCTCATTTCAACTAAGAGACCAGGTCAGCTCCGGTGCTTGTTGAGGTTTGCCCCACAGCTTTAGTACTCCACCCAACAAAGGTTGGGGCTCAGTAGTGACCACTGTGCTCGGTGTGGTCACCGTTGCTGACCTAATGTCTTATGTTACTGGCAACTAATCTATACACATATCACGGCAAACCACAAATGTGTCAGTACCTAATTTCTTGGCCCACAAAAACTGTCCACACAGGTGTATACATGTGGCCTTCCAATGCCTGTGACCTAACAAGTACTTTTCTCTGGAAACACTAGTGTTTTGTAGACATGGGGACACCATCAAGTAGTATTAAGTAGGGTTTTCCTGCTAACTTGGAGTAGACTAGCAATATAGCTATAAAATCTTTGACTTTAGCTTTAGATTAACGATTTTAGTTTAACTATCCCCAGTAACCCCAACATTTGGAACTTAATATTTCTTTTACAAGTATGTTTATTTTCTCCCGGGGTAAAATTATTGAAGAAGTCAAATTAATTTCAACAACAGTGATAAATGCAACATACAAACTTTATTTAACAAAAGTAACAGGTAAAGTAAAACAGGCACTTATATTAAGAAAAAAACTACAAGAAAATCTATCTTTAACAACATAAAACAACCTACTTGCAGTTGCATTTAACTGAGCTCTGTTGCTGTGAAGAATACAGCTCATGCACAGGTATGGATGAAAGATTTGTACATTTTAAGTATTCACTGAATACTACCTTATATACACATATACATTAAATTTGAAAAAGATTAGATGATCCCAGCTGTACTTCATTTTTGTTGTTCTTTTGGAAGAGGCCGTCTAAAAAGAAGAATATGCGGTTCTGTGGAAAGGAAAATATTTATCATTAAGTTTCATGTCAAAACAACCAGTAAACTCTTTGAAGTGTTTAAAATTATTTCTCAATATAATAAACACTAAACACAGACAAACCATATAATAGCACTGCTCCACTACTTTAATCTTTGGCCTACACTGGAAAGAATGGTTTCTACCTGTAAAGTCATTTCCAGTGAAAAGGGAAAGTTATGTCTTTGGGAAAAGAACACCTCATTCAAATCAGCTACTAGACGTCATGCTAATGCACATCAAAACCACCACAAAGTTGGATATAAACTGCCTAGCAAATACAAAGTTTCAATCTCAGCACACAAGCCTACCAGACTAAAAGCAAGGTGTGGTGGTATATACTTGTAACCCCTGTCTTAGCTTAAGAAAGGATAAAAATAAATCAGAAGAGTCTACCCAATACCTCGCAGTTCAGTGTGAGGAAGGTGAGGAATCCATAGTTGAGTTCCTCTGCTGCTTTTCTAATAGAACTTTAGAACTCTAGAAGTCTGTGTCACAGCCCCAAGAACACAGGCTCAAAGAGTTTAACAATGTTTAACCTTTCTTTACAAGTATAAAAAAATAGCATCAATTTCTATATTTTTGCAGAATTTAGCACGTGTTTTACGCTGAATAAGCAAGTATCTAAGTCAGTTTTATAGGTAGAAAGAATATTACTTTCATTCTTTTATTATATTACTATAAAACAATATCCAACCAGTCATTTAAAAAAATAGTTGAGGCTCTCAGTGAACACCAAATGTTCAAGTTATTAAAAAGTTAACCCTCAACAACTATTTTTTAGTTAGCACTTCATAGCATAGCTTACCTGGCTCATGAATCATGTAATGAACCCATCCTAGACTCTGTTGGACACCAAGTCTCCTCCACTCCTCTTCAGACATCAGATGAGTTTTTGGTACTTGCTTAGAGAGTTCTCTGGGCAACATGACATGCCTGTTAAAAGATTCAGCCAAAGATTAGTCTTTCCAACTGTCATCATTTTATACTGGCACCTTTTGAGAAATTTGAAGGGTTTTTTTATACTCAAAACAAACATTTCAGCCAGGCGTGGTGGCTCTCAGCACTCTAGCAGGTGGATCATTGTGAGTTCAAGGCCAGCCTGGTCTACAGAGTGAGTCTAAGACGGCCAACCCTACACAGAGAAATCAGGTCTTGAAAAATCAAAATACAAACAAATACACATTTCTCTAAAGCAACTCTAGATTACAATATTTGTATCAATCTTGGGTGAGGACTTATGTTTAAGTATTTGTCCAACAGAAAGCTGCACAAAAATGAAAGGTATTTTTTGTTGTTTTTCAAGACAAGGTTTCACTGTGTAGCCTTGGCTGTCCTGGACTTGCTTAGTAGAGCAGGCTGGCCTCAAAAAAAGAACAAGAGATCCGCCTGCTTCTGCCTCCGAGTGCTGGGATTCCAGGTGTGCACCATGGTGCCCAACTTGGCATTTTATTCTTTAGGGCTAACAGGGTATTTGCCGTTGAGGAATCTTCCAGAATAGAACCTTAAAATCTATTTCGGGCACATCATTATACAGCCCACCCTCTACTTTAGCTTCCTTTGGTGATGAAGCAACTCTTGGTTTACAAGATATAGGCAGAAAATACTCAAGTACTGAAAAGTACACTCAAAAGATCATACCAGAGTAAAGAACATACCCACTCTCTTGTTAGATACAGACTCATACTATCAGGATAGCTAGAGCAGCAAGCTAAAGCCGTAGGCAGTTATAAAATGGAGTTACAAAGAAGAAAGGGGCCTAGTACCAGGATTAGTTATCACTTCAACCCACGATTACTAAACTTTGAATATGGGGGAAGAATGGACAAACTAAGACAGTTAATGTGCGTCCTGTTACTCTACACTGTATCTGTAGCTCTTTATATATTCCATAGTTTGTTTCATGTCTCAAAATCAAATGCAAAAAAATATTAACGCTCTTGGAACTACTTCATATAGACCTTTAGTTTCCCGGTATGTTACTGATACTTTTCCAGAACTTTCAATAGGCATCTAATAGTCTTTAATACCAAGCCATTATAATTTTTTCCTTGTTTTATGTGGAAAATCCACAATCATCTTTCTTCTTGGTTAACAGAGTTATAAGATAATTGAATGAATAATAAGATAATCTGCAAAGTAGAAGTAATTATACAGAAATCTTGGGAGTCCCATTATTAAGACTTCTAGGACTCTGCTGTTTCTTTGCCCCTGCACCCCTGCTGCTATGGCAAGATGGCTTGAAACCCACTATCTTTTTGCCTTAGGCTCCCAAGTGCTACAATTACATAACTGGGTACAACACTCAGCCAGATGTTTCTTTCTAATGAATTGACCATTAGATTTACAAATTTTTGAAATGGCCAACAGACCATAGAAAGACATTCATTTAGGCTCCTGCTTGAAACCAACAGCTTCAGCAAACTGTTGGCCTTGATTCAGGGCCAAAACAAACATACAAATATAAGCACAAACAACTCTTTACCTTGCCTGCATAAAACATTCAATTACCACAAAGTATCTTTCTAAAATCCTAACTGTCAGACTCACTTTACATTTTCTGGTAAGTTTATGTAAAATTAGTAATTATCAAATTTTAAACAGTATAGGGCTGAGATGATGGAGATGCAAATTCAGTTCTGTATTTTTAGAATTGGAACAGCTCAATCCATAAGCACCAAGCTGTCCATAACATAAGATTTTAGGCTGTGCAAATAATCCTTAAAACTTTATGATGTAAATTTAATGGCTACAAAATTATGGTTACCACCATGGCACGACCCCCCGCCCCATTTCCTGGCAAATGTACAAATATTCTTATGCATACCAGCCAACAAGCATTCTTGAAATGCTGCTTAGTGGTTTTACTTTGATGCTATAGATCATACGGGGGACAGGAAGTTCTGCCAAGTTTCAGGGCCCCTTGGGCTACTTATTTTTGAGATGGGGTCTTTCTCTGAAACCCAGGGAAACCCTGCAGGACCTCATCCTCAACATCCAAATTTTAAGACTGTACAAATACCTTGTAATCTTAAATTTCCACTGATATCAGTCTCAAAAGACAATTGTGATGCTTGTCTATTTGCTTTCACAAATACATTAATGCACCTGCAGGCATTCAGATAGAGGTGCCCCTATCTTCTACAGAAGTTGTGTCAACAGGTTTCATTCAGGGGTAGCAATTATAATGCAAATTCTAAGTAGTGTAAGACCCACCGATTTTACCTGTATTTTATTACTGACCACAAATTTGATATTTGGAACACTATTTCCAAAACCCAGTTTCTGTTGGACCACAAAGTGCCATGTATCACAACTTTATTAAAGTACCCATAGAAATCCTCAATTTTCCTTCTGTAAATACTGGTTCCCAGGCTGGGCATGGTGCACACTCCTTTCCTCCCAGGACTTTGGAGGCAGATGCAGCCAGATCCTGTCTAAATACAGAGTTCCAGGAAGCCAGGGCTGTAGAGACATCTCAAAAATGTAAAAATGCCAAGAGGGAAAAACAAAAAAAAAACAAACAAACAAAAAAAAGACTCCAAACTGGTATTAGAAGAGGAGCAGCCTACTGTTTGTAGTAATCACTCTGAAATTTACCCAACACACACATAAACCACCCCAGACTCCACCTGTGTTACACCAGCACAGTCCCTTTAAGAGCACCTCTCTTACTCCTGTGCTGTAAAGGATGGTCAGTGAAGCCAGGCGTGGCAACACACCCATAATCTTTAGCAACTGGGAAGGCTGAAGCAGAAGGGCAAATTTGAAAAACTGCTTAACGTTTCAAAATAAAATCTCTTGACCTCTGGATTGCGTAACTAATAAAGCAGTGGGTGGTAGATTAGCTCCTAATTTTTATTGGAATAAATTACTTCAGACAGACCAGCAGTTGCTCCCCCAATTTATATAGCCCAAGTTTAAAAACTATCTCACTCTGGCAACAAGTCTTAAAGAAATGTATATAAACCCATAAACCCTTATGCTAAACATTTGGACCCAAAACCTATCTACCAAGTTTGGAAAGGTAGTACAATTCCTTTCTGTCATTATTCGATATTCTCAAGCTGGGCTCTGGGTTACTATAACATAACCGAACATTATGCCAACTTGTCACAAGCTTACAATTGTGAAGTTTGTAATTACCATATAAAGATATATTTAAGCATTATAGTTAAAGTGTTTTATTTCTCAAACAGCATGCTGGAGACTAACCTAAAAGAGCAACAAAGAGAAAACAAGGTCACTATTTGGCCAAAGGCGGCATAGTTTTACCCACCTGGCTTTCTTGACCTTGTCCCAGAATGCAACGCTCTAGTCCCAACTCAGAACCACCCAGCGGCGGAAAGGCCTTTGAAACCACACCCCAATTCAGCATGATTACAATAAAGTTAACTGTGATAATCCCCTACTTTCCACAGTCCCACCTGCTAATTATATTAATGTAGGTATTGCTCCTCAGCGCATCTCAGGGTTTAAAATCCAAAAACTTTTTCAAAAGCCCCAAACGTAGCCAAAATACACTAGCTGCTGAAATTAACTTAAAAACAAAACTTCCCAGGGCGATCCCGAGTTCTCTAATCGTGAAGCTCTTTAATAAAGCCCGAATTTCTGCGGCTGGAGCGTTACCCTACGACAGTCGCAAATGCCCGTCGGGTGCGTTTCCGGGGACTTCCCCTCCAGGCCGGTCCGGGCGAGGGCGAGACGTGGTCGTGAACTCCCGCTGAGGAGCTGCCGAGCATCTACCCTGGCCCTGCTAACCCGCACGGCGACACAAAGCGCGGCTGCCCTGACAGACAAGAGCCCCGAGGGGCCCCGACCACCGGGTCCGACCTCCCGGCGCGGCCGTTCTCCGCGGGCGCTGCTCACCGGTACTCGTAGTGCTCGTCGAAGTACTTGTCCGAGTAGTAGATCTGCTTGTGGGCCATCTTGCCGGCGCGGAGGAGAACACGGGAGCAGCAGGAAAGCAAGCGCGGGGAACTGCACGTCCGCCTACGGCCGGCGCAACGACTCGAATGAGGCCAACGACCGCAGGCCCAACGCTCTGGATTTGAATCCGACAGCCCGCCGCCGATTGGACGAAGCCACCGACCAATCACGCTCCGCGCAGACCACGGGGACAGATGACCAATCAGAGGCCTACCCCGGGCCGCGGGGGCGGGAGTAAGGCGTGGAGAGCGCTCTGGGAAGGAGCTCCCGGCGATCCCCAGTTTCCGAGAGAAGGGCGGAGCCGAGTCGTGTGGGCCGCACGGCGCGTGCGCAGTGGTTTGGAAGCGGCCTCTGGGCAGAGCCGTTGGCTGGGGAGGCGGATCCCAGCCAAGGCAGCGCGGGTTTTGAGGGCGAGGCGCACCACGCGCGGGCCGGGGCGCAGTCGGCGGGCGGCGAGGAAGATCGCCTGCGGAGAGGGCCCCCGCGCTCGCCCTGCCCGGCGCGCCCGCCCGCCCGCTGCCGGCCGCTCCGCTCGCCCGTGCGCCGCGCAGGGCTGGTTACTGTTCGCAGCCCGCTTCAAAAGACGTTCGCGTAAAAGAAAGTCACCGGATGAAAACGTGCCAGGATGTTGGTGCTTTGGCGGAGCAAGTTACAAACAACAGTCCTTCCCCGCCACGAGCGGGTGCCGTCTTCCTGTTGGATTCAGTTTGGGGTGAATTGTTAGTTGCAGCACAAGGCGGAGCGTAACCGCTCCCGTGACCCCTCAGTGAGGTGCCCTCACGGGGCTGCTAGCGAAAGGAACCAACTGTGGCATCTGGGCGTGGTCGCCCACGCCTTTAATCCAAGGCCAGCTCCCCCCCCCCCCCCCACTCACACAGACAGGATTTCTCTGTGTAGCCCTGACTGTCCTGGAACTCTCTGTTGACGAGGCTGGAACTCACAGAGAACCCCCGTCTCTCCCCTCCTGAAGTGCTGGGATAACAGGTGTTCGCCACCACCGCCAGGCGTTAGCCCCGGATCGTTGATGGGTTGTAGGGCTACAAAGTGCGACCCTTTATAAAACAAACACGGCAGTCAACACGATAGGGTGCCATGTTATTGCGATTTTTATTTCTTACGGCGTTGGGTGACCAGGTGCTTGCCTGGTCATCCTAACGACAGTTTTCCCGGCTTCACTTGGACCTCAGTTAAAGAGAACACAAGCTCTTCTGCCTTCTTACACAACTTCAACGTTATTTTGGCACTATAAATAATAAAGGTACCAATTGCCTCCCAAAGCTATCACATGACAGGTGGGATTAAAATTTCAACATGTAGCCGGGCGGAGGTGTCACACGCCTTTAATCCCAGCACTCAGGAGGCAGAGGCAGATTTCTGAGTTCGAGGCCAGCTTGGTGTATACTACAGATCGAGTTCCAGGACAGCCAAGGCTACACAGAGAAACCCGGTCTCAAAAACAAAACAAAAAAACAGTAACAAAAAAAAAAAAAATCAACATGTAAATAGGAAGAGGGTGTAAGTGTAAACTCCGTAACACAAATGTACTTGAGGTCTGAGTGTCCTGTTCTGAAAGGTCTCCCTTAATTACTTTTGAGAGCAGCGGTCCTCGACCTTCCTAACGCTGCAGCCATTTGACAGAGTGCCTCATGCTGCGGTGATCTCAAATCATAAAATTGTTTTGTTGTTACTTTATAACTAATTTTGCTACTTTTATGGATTGTAAATAAATATCTGACCTCCTGGGGGTCACGACTCAGACTGAGAACAGCTGATCTAGAGAAAGTTACCTTGTTTTCCCCAAGTCTCTATTGATAGAATCCTTTAGATTTCCTGCCTGCTGTTTAATGGACATTTAGTTATTGTTTCTCCGTTTGCACTATTTACTCTCCATGCAATGAATGTAGAGAGCATATTTATTTTATGGTGAATACTCATTAATGCTGTTTTGTTTGTTTTTTCAAGATAAGGTTTCTCTATGTATCCCTGACTGTTCTGGAACTCACTCTGTAGATCAGGCTGGCCTTGAACTCCTATTTACACACACACACACACACACACACACACACACACACACACACATCTCTTAAGAGGTTTGGAATGTTTTAGTATTATATGCTAAAAGTCAGGGACAGCAAATGTATATTTTACAATTTCACTGTGTAATTTATTACATAAATACTATAAAGCAAAAGCTCATTTTAATAAATGCAGGAAAATAATAAAATTCACACACTTATAATTTAAACTCAATAAATCTACCAGGCACTGATAAACACTACTCAGAAATCAGAAATCTGTTATCTGGTAAAAGTATCCATAAAAAATACGAATATAATTCTTACAGAGAAACATTCAAAGTAATCCGTTAGTGTGTTTAATTAGCTTTGTCAACAGTAGGAAACTCCACTGACCATTGCAGCGAGCGTGTCCTCGGTCCCTCAGAAATAATGGCAGGGCCCTGACATCCAGCACAGTAACGGGTTCAGGGTGTGTGAAAGTGAAGAGTCTCGTGTGGGTGGCACTGCTAGCCCAGTGGAGCGGTCTGAGCAACACCTGACCTCCGTGCGCGTTCTAGGAGGCACGGCTTCCGCCTTCTCCAGCAGCGCTTTCCTCGGAGGACACAGGAGCGAATGTCACCCGCCTTCCATTAGGACCAGCCGTCCGGAACACAGCAGGAACCGAGAGAAATGAAGCAGTGGCCCGAGCCGGTGAGGGCCTGGGTTCAAATATCCAACACCCATGTTAAAAGCCAGCGTGGCCACGCACAGCTGTAACGCCCGCGCTGTAGCGGGAGCGGAGGAGAGGGGCGAGAGTATTGCTGAGCCTTGCTTGTGTACAGCCTAGTACTAGGTTCTTAGAGAGGCCCCGTCTCAGGGGCCAAGAATAACAGCAAGACACTCAGCACCCTCCTTTGGCTCCCATGTGAACGCTACTAACACAACAGACCACGACGCGCGCGCGCACACACACACACACACACACACACACACACACACACACACACGAGGCTGGAATGATTGCTCAGTAGTGTTTGCCATTAAGCCAGATAACCTGAGTCCAGACTGGGAACACAAATGGTGAAAAGAGATAATTGACTCCATAAAGTCTCCTCAGACGTTTCCTGATCCCATAGCACAAGCCTGTGAGGGGTTGGTCTGGTGCTATGTGTTCCGATGTGCTAATTACTGGGCCCCAAGATCCGGTTGCTGCCCAGACAAGCACATTCTCATGTACACCTGTCTTTGTTGTGTAATCCTTGCTTCACTTAATTTAAAGTTGACTGGTTGATAAAAAAAAAAAAATGCTGAAGTTTGGGAAGTGACAGAAGAGAGGGAGGTAGAGTTTGAGGTTCTGAGGCCTGAGGTTGGGGGATGAGAGAAGGGAGATCAGGAGGAGATGAGAATGGATGGATTCCAGAGAAGATAATCAGGAAAGTACTTGGCACCTTAAACGGGAGGAAGAGAAGTTGAGAGTGGGATAATAGATTAGTTATTATGTTCATTTCTGTGCCCAGCTTTGACTGAATCATAGTCTCAGTGTGTGGTTATTTGGGGAAATTGTTGACTAATGAATAAATAAGGATTTACTAAATATATGACAGATATTAATTACTAATATTCACCAGCACATGGCCCTCCCAATAGAAAAATATAAATAATAATTAAAGCTTTCCCCTGTGTGCCTGCTAACAGTAGTCTTTACATTTACTGTTAATTTACTGTTCATTACAGTGTGAGTGAGATTGGCTCCCTGCCATTAGATTCATTGCTGTTGCCCTTTGGTGTATGAGATATTAATTGTATAAAATGATGGGCTTCATCATATTTTCATACTTGCTACTGCTCATATTCACTAAAAAGAATAAATAATAAAAGCTAAAATTAAAACTGTTCCATGATCTTGAGACACTTGACAAGATGCAACTTAAGATAAATGTTGTTTAACTTAGATTAATTAATGTCATTTAACATCAAACTAATTAGTTTTCTTTTTTGTAGTTTCCCCTTTTCTAGTCTAAATGAATTGTACTGTTTTTCCTCATTTTTTAATATTCAGACCAACCAGCTTAGGGATATAATTTACTTTGGTTTTATATCAGGATATAACTAAATTTTTTTTCTTTTTCTTTCTTTTTTTTTTTTTTTTTTTTTTTTTTTTTTTTTTTTTTTTTTTTTTTGAGACAAGATCTCTCTATGTAGCCATAGCTATCCTGGAACTCTCTCTCTGTAGATTAGACCCACCTCCTGTCTCTGCCTCCCACGTGCTAGGATTAAAGGCATGTGTCACCACTCCTGGTTTAGCTAAAAAAATTTAAATGATCTCTTCCAATACCTTTAAAGCTACAGAGCTTGGAATGAGTCATGGATCTCATCACACCTGTGAGTGTATTCACATAGTAGTATATTACCTGTCATAAGGCTTCTATAACACTTAAATTAAGTATAAAGATGGAGGAGAGAGCTAAAATTGTTTTTATTGCCACGTAAGAACTACCTCCCAAGAGTACTGACTTTAAAAAGATTTTTTTTTTTTTCCCTTTCACAGTACTCCCACCTGAGCCATCTCCCCAGCTTCTTACAAAACAGAGCTCTGAGCCAGGCAGTGGTGGCACATGCCTTTAATCCCAGAACTCAGGAGGCAGAGGCAGGCGGATCTCTGAGTTCAAGGCCAGCCAGATCTACAAAGCCAAGGCTACCCAGAGGAAACCCTGTCTCAAAAACAAACAAAACAAAAACCAAACAACAACAACAAAAGACAGAGCTCTGGGGTATAATAAGCATTATCAGAACTCTGGGGAAAAGGAGCCATGGGCAACACTTGGAGAGCCTTCTCTATGTCCACTTTAAAACTGGAGACCACCTTAAGCCATCTGTTGCTTCTGTGGACAAATATCGAATCCCGTGTGCTGTGATCTGGAAATGATTTCAAGACTGCTACAGCATGTAGCCCAACCGAGAGCACCCCAGATCTTTGTGGAGAAAGGTGGTGGTTAGCTCAACTTGACTGGATTTAAAAACCTTGGGCATGAGCAGGGAAGAATATTGGGGATGTCTGTGAGGGTTTTTCCAGATTAACTAGGCAAATGTAGGCCAATCAAAAGCGCATT